ATAAACATGTATGAAAGACTTTAAATCTTAGGCCTGGAGGGTCGTAGATCTAGACATGGATTGATTCATCCAGAAAACTCCTAAAGGGGTCGTTCAAATATAATCTTACGTCTGGAAAAGGCCTAAAGGGGGGGGGGGGGGGCGTGTGTTGATTCCTGTAAAAGAAAAGTGTAAGAAAGGGGGAAATGGGGGTGGGGGGGGGGGGTCCTGAACCAATGTAATATTACACTTTTGTAAGGTGAAAAAATAACAAGGAAAATAATTTATGACAACACAATTTTTTAAAAACAAAACATGACATAAAAAGAGTAAACTCTGCTATTCACTTACAACAAGTTTTTTCCCCGGAAAAGTTCCGCTTATACCGTATTTAGATTAAGAAAGGATTTGTACTCTTAAAGTTAATCTTAATATCTGTGGCCTCAAAGACAAGGAACCAGAACTCATTACTTTCATGAAAAGGTGGAGAAAACCAATACTTGGACTATCACTATCAGATTGCCGTTAAAAAGGAAGTGGGACCAAGAAAATACATGAAAATTACATACTAATATGTAGTGGAGTAGATATGAAAGAGAGAGAGAGAGAGAGAGAGAGAGAGAGAGAGAGAGAGAGAGAGAGAGAGAGAGAGAGAGAGAGAGCTATTCATGGTGTGGGATTCATAATACAACCTGACACGGCAGAAAGAGTTATAATAGAGAACGAATTAATATCAGAAAGGATGTTGAAAATCAGAATACAGAAAGCGCAAAAAGGGAATCTATCATCCAGATCCAAGTTTACGCCCCTCGTACTGACACATACTCAAGGGAAGATAAAGAAAATTTTTTTCAGAAGTTGGCGGACACCATAGACAGCGTACCTGATGAGGAGGAACTAATCATAATGGGAGACTTCAATGGACACGTAGGCCCAATAAGAACACCATGGGAAAACTACCTTGGACCACACGGTGACACCAGTTCAGATTGTAACTATAATTAGTATAATGGGGAAACACCATTTAGCTCTCTGTGCAGAGTATGAATAATACATCACAATTTTACCAGCACAGGCCAAGTCAAACTCAGTCGTGGTACAAATGGAACACCCTAGAAATTTCCTCGTAGATCGACTTCATACTAAGACGAATCGCCCATAGAACAAAAACAACTGATGCAAGATCAATCCCAAACATCACCTTTGATACGGATCACCGGCCAGTGATGATGACGAGTAAAGAGAAAAAAAGACCCATGCGAAAACAGAAGAAACATTCAGAGAAAATGAACATACGAAAACTCAACGAAGAGGGCAATGTGCAGAAAGTTGAGGACGAGATCACAAAGAGACTAGAAAACCGAGACACCAGTTCGATGAACGTTGAAGAAACGTGGACTTTCTTTTAAAAACTTACGAACATGAACACTGATAAAGGTATGTGGAAAGAAGAGAATTGGGAGAGGATACGTTAAGGAGACACCATGGTGGAATGAAAGCGTTAAAGAGGCCATCAAAGAAAAGAAGAAACTTTTTCAGAAATGGATAAAATCCCAGGACGATAACAACTACACGCAATACAGACTAGCAAGAAGGAACTGCAAAAGAGTTGTTAGAGCATCAAAAAATGAATCTGGGACAAAATATGGAGAACACCTAAGCGAACTGTGCCATAAATCACCAAGTGACTTCTACAGAAGTGTAAAATCAATGAGGCTCAGAGAAGAACCGAAAGACCCAACAGCTATAATAAATGACAAAACAGGAATCCCCATTATCGACAGCTCCAAAATTAAATCTAGATGGAGGGAATATTTCTCAGAACTCTTGAACACCACCCAAAAGCAAACAAACAAAGAATTCCAACCAAGTCACCCAGAGGAAGAGAACCAACAATCCTACCATCAGAGGTCAGACAGGCTGTTAAAACCAGCCCAAAAAAACCCCCAGAAGCGCAGGAATAGATGAGCTCACCACGGAGACCATCCTAGCACGTGGTGAAACTGAAATAACTTGGCTCACAAAAATCTTCCAGAAAGCATGGACAGAAAGAAAAGTTCCCGGCGATTGGCAAAAAGTGGTCATAGTACCAATCTGGAAGAAGAAAGGCAGTAAGAGAGACTGTGGAATGTATAGAGGCATTTCACTGCTAAGCTGTCCCCGTAGAATTATGCAAATTTAGATGGCCAAATTATGCAAGAAAAATTCAAAATTATGCAAAAATTATGTAAGTTACCATAACGCCATTCACGACATGTTTTGCATTTTTTCAACAAGAATTTTCATGTTTTATGTACAGAAAAATTGAAAACAGAACATATCAGTATCAGTAATTTGTTGTGTATTTGGAAAGAAAACAAAGCAGATCAGTCAGAAAAAACAACAACCAAAAATATAATCTCTGTGACTTTCAGCTGTATATCTACAGAGGAAAGAAAAATGGAGAAAAAAAAAAGGACATCTGGACCTCTGATGCTGGCACATCACTAAAACCAGGTACACCTTTCAAACATGAAATATCAGCAGACATGAGAACAACTTTTGATGGATTGAAAAATAGATCATGCTGAAGGAACAAAAGCCCTAACCCATAACCTAGCATCTGTGTTTGTCGATTTCTGCATTTTTACAACAACAACAAAAAAAAAAAAAAAAAGAAAAAAAACAACAAAACCCAACACCGCTCGAAAAACAAACCCTGGGGATTAAAAATCGATAAACTAAAACAGAAAACATAAAAAAAGAAAGAAAGAAACCGAACCTCATTAACTTTACTTTTAGAAAGAAAAACTATATTAGATTAGAAAGTTTACGTTCACTTCCTCTCTTTCTCACTTGTTGACACCACGTTGATTTGTTATTTTCAATGAAATTTCATGTGAAGAAAAAGTACATGTACATTTCATACTCTTATATGTATTGCTGTTTCCCTTTAATTTGTCCCTCTTTATTGTGTTTTAATTTTCCTTGTTATTGTTCTGATGTGTTCTTTTTTCTGGGGTTTTATTTTTTTGTACGTGTTTTACGGCGCTCGCAACTGCATAAGGTTATATGAGCGCGCGGGACACGCTAAATTAGTCGGTAGGAAATTTTGAATTTTGCGCGGGCAGCGGCCGAACCTACTCTTATCGATTTTAGACCATCAAGGGATCTTTAACGTGCAACTTGCACACGGGACTTCCGAGATTTTTCGCCCTTGTCCGAGAAGGCTAGGTGAATATTTTTCTTACCAGAAGATCAGGGATGTGGCTGAAAGACAGCAGTCAGAAGGAGCCAAGGAGTAGCAGTAGAAAGGCTGCAGGAAGAGTCGGGAGCCCAAAGGAGGGGGCAAAGGATCCGGGACCTTTGAATGAGAGGCTAAAACCTTAACCTCTAGGCCACGAGAGCCCCCGTTTTTTATGTTTATATAGCGTATGTTATATAATTTGATGTCGTTCCCACCTTTTTAAAAAATACACAAATGTGTTATGCTAGAGCGTGTCTCTACCAAGACTGAATACTGACACTGGCAGGCCCTTGTGTGTGATTCCATAATTTACATGTAAGTAATATCCTGTACCTTTTCTTAAATTACACACGTTTAGGGTTAAAAAGGCCAATCTTCGGATAGGTTAACAATAACACATGTCTTTATTTGTTATTTTTGTGTTGAAGATGTGCTGTTCTAATTTTGATTTAATTCTGTTGTGAAATCTTTATTTTTCACGTTTTAAATCCTGTGTGGTTACAAATGATATTCTGTTTGCATAAAACAGAACACAAGGCATTCTGGCGCTTTAGATGAAGCTAACTCTATCAACAAGCTTTATAATATACGTCGTCACAGAGAGTTGAAAGCTTGGAAATTAATGGCAACCTTTTTGGCAACTTTTGCCATTTTTTGGGCAACTTTTGGAAAAAAAATTGCAACAAACGCAGATGCTAGCATAACATAATATAATCAAGATATTCTAACAAGGGAAATAACCAACTTTTCACTTAAATGAGACTTTTTACGTACGTAGTCTAAACAGCCGTATGTACTGCTCACAGCCGAACGCTCCGTATCCCGGACTCTAGCATGGAGATCATCAGGAGAGAATGCGTCGCTGTTTCGGGCTCTTCCTCTCTACAGCTTTTCTGACGCACCACGCCCCCCTCACCGATGTGAGGTCTCCATGTTAGTTCGACTGTTTTCCTCTGCTGCCAACTTTAGGATTCATTCCAGCTTGCGTCCTCTCGCTTCAACCAGATCCAGAGACTGGCTTTCTCTGCTGTCTCCTGAAGGGAGTTTGTGAGTTCGTTGCTTTTCTTTGCAGTAAGTCCTGCCACTCTCATCCACTTACGGGTGCTTGTTTCTACAAAACCTCTGCATCCTACCTCTACCGGAAAATGGGTTGCTTTCCATCCTGCTTCTTCACATTGTTCGACGAGTGCCTCGTAACGGTTTTCTTTCCGCTCATGTGCGGCATATATATTGTCCTCGTGGGGCACCGTGAGCTCTACCAAGTACACCTCTTTGTCTTTTTCCTCCCATAACACAATGTCTAGCTTTTTCGTAGTTGGAATGGGGAAGAATCTCTCAAAACCCTTTAAGTCGGCGGCTACCTCCCATGTGCCCCCGCTCTGGTCTCCCATGGCTTCGTTTGCTTTCTTTCTTTTGGTAACCTTGCTTCCTTGCGGAACGAACGCAATCTTGG